TTCTTTCTTATAACATCTTAAGTTGGTGAATTACACTGATTGATTTTGAAATGTTAAAGCAACATTGCAGTCTTGGAATAAACCTCATTTGGTCATGATTTATAGTTGGATTCAAATGGCTAAAACTCTTAAGAATTTTTCTGTGTTCATGAAGGTTGTTAGACCTGTAGTTTTCTTATCTTACCTTGTCTTGTAATCTTTTTTATTTTTTACCTAATACTTGTTTGGTTTTGGTATTAGGGAAAGGCTGGCTTGAGAGGATTTGAAACGTTCCTTCCTTTTTTATTTTCTATACAAATAGTTAATACTTCTTCCTTAAACATTTGGTAGATACCATCAGTGAAACTATTTGGGCCTGGAGGTTTTTTGTTAGTTTGTTTTCTCAGTTTTATTTTGGTTTGGGTTGGGGGGGGGATGGTGTGGGCAATTTTGAACTATAAATTTAATTTCTTTATTGATATGGGGCTACATAGATTATTTCTTCATGACTGAACTTTGATAGCTGTTTCTTTCAAGGAATTTGTCCATTTTTATGTAAGTTGTCAAATTTTCTGCCATGATGTTTTTTTCTAATACTCCTTTATTATCATTTTATATTTGTAGAATACATACCAATATTCCCAGTATTGGTAATTTATGACTTTTTTCCCCCTTCTGATAGGTATGGGTAGATATTTATCAATTTTCTCAAAGGACATGCTTTTTATTTCACTGATCTTCTCTATTTTCTATTTCATTGATTTTAGCTCATAGGTTTATTAGTACATTTTTCTATTCATTTTGGGTTTTATTTGCTCCTTTTTTTTTTAAGTATAAAAAGGTGTAGGAACTTACCCTTCCTATCTAACAAATTTGTTTATAGCTGTTAAAAAATTAATTTTCCATCTAAGTACTGTTTTAGATGCATCCCACTGTTTTCATTCATTTAACCACTTTTTCATTTCCCTTTTGGTTTCTTAGACCCATAGTCTATTTCGAATTACATTGTTTGGTATCCAAATATTTGGAGATTTTCCAGATAGCTTCATGTTATTGATTTCTATTTTAATTCTGTTGTGGTCAGAGAAACACTTTGTACAATTTGAATTCATCTTTATTGAGATTTGATTTCTGGCCCAGACTATGTGGCCTATCTTGATAATGTCCCATGTGTACTTGAAGATTGTGGATTCTGTATTGTTTGGTGGTGCATCTTATGTCAGGTCAAGTGTTACATATCCTTACTGATTTCCAAATTTAGTAAGTTTTCAGTTTTTTTCATTTTTTTTTTCCTATCCCTCTTTCCAAACCTTTCATTCAGTTTCTTTGGGTGTGTGTGTGTGTGTGTGTGTGTGTGTGTGTGTGTGTGTGTGTGTCTTGATATGTCTGTCTGTCTTGATATTTTCCATTCTGTGTGTCCTTTTGGTAGTTTCTATTGTTCATTCTTCAAGTTTACTAGTCTTTTATTCTGCAATGATTTATCAGCTGCTAATCTCAGCCAGTATATCTTTCACAACAGTGAGATCACATTGGGGTTTTTTTTTTGTATCTTCCATAACTCTCCTTAGCATGCTCAATCTTTCCCCTTTTTGAACATATAGGGTATATTTGGGGTTGTATTTTCCTGCTTCTTTGTACACATGGTAATTTTTGTAGCTCAGGCATTTTGAATTTTATGTTGCTAGGTATTAGAAAAAATAAGTATTTGTTAGATTACGTTTATGTATGTCTAACACATTTATTACACATTCACATATACACGCACACACGTACATACATAGGGGATACATACATACTTACATTAGGGACCCTATCTCTACTTCACTTGAACAAGCCATTCACAGTGAATCGCCAGTTTTCATTTGCATTTTATTTTTTATACAGCTGACCAGGACAGAGAATCCTAGTCCCATGTTTTTTTGTAAGGCTCCCAGTATCTCAAAAACTACTGCAAACATCTTTAAAGCTAAATTAATTTCACTAGAAAAAAGGAAGGCACATGAAATACTTGAGGCATAAATACTTGGAAATTAAGAAAACCCAAGATCTCCATCTTGGGTTGGAAGCAGTGGTTTGAGGAGCTTAAAAACTCCTTGTCCTGCTCTCATAGGGAGAACTCTCTAACTCCCCAGCTTCATAGCACGTCATGATTCCCTGAAAGGCAACCCAGAGTGTGGGCCTGGGTAGTGTGTAGTCCCTGGGGCTGGCTGTGACCAGCTTCCTTTAAAGAGCTCACCCAGCAGGGGCATATGGGCAAAGTAGGAGATTGAAAAGCCTCTGAATTGCCTCCCTCCCCCTTTTATATTAGATCATAGAAAATCACTTTGCTGCTGCGGTGAGCCACCCCGGAAAATCTCTCTCCAGGGTGCTGGCCTGCCAGGTGCACCCTGTTCTCCAGTGAGGCCAGGAAAGGGCCCCACAGCAAAACAGTGTCTAGCTTCACAGCTGGCTGGCAGCTTTGCTTAAGTTGGTAGATTGTGCTGTGTAACTCTAAGAGCTAGAAGGTATTCCCGAGCCAAGGAAAGCAAGAAACTACACTTAATCTGAATCTCTGAGTGGTCACCATGATGAATGTGTTAAAGACTTCAGGGAAGGGGCGCCTGGATGGTTCAGTCGGTTGAGCATCCGACTTTGGCTCAGGTCATGATCTCACGGCTCGTGAGACCGAGCCCCGTGTGGGGCTCTGTGCTGACAGCTCAGAGCCTGAAGCCTGCCTCTGATTCTGCGTCTCCCTCTCTCTCTGCCCCTAACCCACTTGCATTCTGTCTCTGTCTCTCTCAAAAATAAATAAACGTTAAAAAAAAAATTTTTTTTTTAAAGAAAAAAATGACTTCTGGGAAAATGAAGGAAATCAAACTGGCTTCACATTTTCAGAACGACTTCTGTATGGTTTGGATCCTTTTTTTTTTTTTAATTTTTTAACATTTATTTTTGAGAGACGGAGAGAGGCAGAGAATGAGCAGGGGAGGGGGAGAGAGAGAGATACAGAATCCGAAGCAGGCTCCAGGCTCTGAGCTGTCAGCACAGAGCCTGATGCGGGGCTCGAACTCACGAACTGCAAGACCATGACCTGAGCTGAAGTCGGATGCTCAACGGAGCCACCCAGGCGCCCCGGATTCTCTTTTTTTTTAATTATAAGAAAGGGGAAATACAATTAGTACCTTGAAGCCATGTGAAAAATATACCAGGAGCTTCAGTGATGGAGAAGGGCAGACCCTCAACTGTAGAAAAAGTATGAAACTTATTTTTAAGTACATGGGAAAAAAAAAAAAAAGGCAAGGCCTCCTAGAGCACAAAAATCACCAGTTAGGTTACTTTTTATGTGTGAATCTGAACCTCTGGCTTTTTGCTGAAGAGGTCTGTGGCTGTTTTGGCTGTCTGGGGAAGGCTTCAGGCTCCTTAGCCAAGTGGTGTGAAATGCTAGTGGCCTGGTTCTGCCACCACTTTCACAGGCCCTTTCCCTGTAAACCCTGTTCTCTGGCCATAGATGACAGCCAGTGCCACCTGCCCTTCATGTTTCTAATGGTATTTTTATGTATATACCATAGTACCTCATGAACAGTGCTGTGCAGTTAGTGGGGTCTTTCCATTTGCTAATTTTACATGACACACTGAGCTGACAAGGTGTCACACCCCTCTTGGCAGATGAGGAAATGGGAAAGCTTTAGGATCAAGAAAGTTTCAGTGACTTGACCAGTGTCCCAAGTACAAGGATCTAGGCAAAATCAAAAGGCTTGTTAATTCTAAATTCAGTGTTCTTTCTGCTAGAATGTGCCGCCACCCTCCAGGACTGGTGGGAGATACTGGGCCAGTCCTCAGGCTAATGCTTCATGATTGTTTTACTTGTTCTGCCTCACTCAGCAGGTGCTGAGCCAAGTTGTGTTTGTGGGGAGCTAGCTTAGTGGGAGACTTTCCTGTGAAGAGGGCAGGGTCTAGAACATGGAAGTGGCCCAGTCTGGCATGTGGAGTGATGAGAATACTGGTTGTGGTTTTCTCACAACTTCCCAATTACTTACTGCCTAGTATCATTTGGAACTTACTTTGCTAACTATGCTTTTGCAAAAAGAAGCATAAATCAATTCAGTTAATGTAGAAAAGGGCGAAAAGTTGCTAAGGAACGTTCCTGGAGATCGGGCCTCGCAGCTTTGACTCTGGGAGGGTATCTAACTTCATTGTTAGCTTAGTCATAAAGAGCAGAGGTCCAGGACCTCAGACTTTCAAAACAACCACAAAGGTTAACAGCAGTTGCTTGCTGAGAAAGCTTTCAGTGTGTTTAATGACTAAGCCTTTAACATAGGGTTTCCTAAACCAGATTTAATAGTAATGATTTTTCACAACCAAACCATTGAAGGCAATGGAGAGTAATGTTTCCCTCAAAAAATTAAACCCAAAACCAAATTTATCAAATGGCTGGACACCTCCTGTACTGACTTCCAAACCTCCCCCCCCACCCCCCCCCCCCCCTGTCGGATTGAACCAAATTAGAAATTTAAACCAAATGATTACAGATTTTTCATATTCTAGCTAACTGACTTGTACTCCTCAGTCTTCTAAACTCAAAAGTAAATCGCAGCAGTGCTGGTTCTGAGGAGAGCACACATAAAGGTGTTAAAGAACAGGCAGGATACCCAGGCAGGCTTACACCCCGAGGACAGTTAGGGTAAGTCTGTATGCTCTGCAGCTATGTTTCCATTTAGTTCTCAATTCCCAGAGTGTCGAAGGCCGGGCTGTGATGACCTCTATGAACGAGCAGCTTCTTGTCAACAGCCTAGACTTTGTATTTTACAGTGGCTCTTGTCCCCCCCGCCCCTGTGCGTACACCTCTGTCATGGCACTGAATGTACCACAGTGCCCTGGTTGCTTTCTACACGTAAGGCTCCTACTATTCAACTCTGAGAGCCAAGACCTGGCACATACTTGGCATGTAGAAGAATTTCTGATGTGTCCAAAATTTTACAGAAAAAAGAGAAGTACGCCAATTATTTTATTTAAGTCTTTTTTTCTTCTCACTTTTCACAAAGGATTTGCTGTCAGTCTTCAAGTCATCTTGTCCAATCCAAAAGCCGTATTTAAGCGTCGTGGATCCCAGCCAGGGATGCAAGAATCTGATTTTCTAAAACAGATAACAACAGTTGAAGAGCTGGAACCAAAAGCAAATAACTGCACCAAGGTATTCATTTCACTTGTGCTGCTTGACCTTGTTGAGTGTCAGCGTTAAGAAGCATGGCTACCCAAAAGATTTCCCTCCCCTCTAGGTTCTTGTGTGGCACACTCGGACAGAGAAGGTTAATCTAGCCAACGAGCCAAAGTACCACCTGGACACGGTGAAAATTGAGGTGTAAATTGAAGAAACTGAAGCAGCAACTGGTGCAGTTTGCCTGGCTGGTGGACGTGGGAGAGGACGTTTGGAGGTCAGGCTGCCAAACATTCAGGTATTGTTCACTTTACTTCAGTACAGCAGCCTTTACTGTCATCTGATGGACATCTGTTTAAGCAGAGCTTGCCAGTTAACATGGCTGACTGGATGGTATAAAGTGTGTGTTTTTTGTCTTCATTTGTTCTGCATGTTTTCCCTACAACGAAACTGGAAGTTCTTTGTACAGTACAGCTAGTGACACTGCGGGATACACTGTGAGTATCTTGTGTACTTTTTTTTTTTTTTTTCCCATTTGGCCTTATAATTGGTGGAACTGGTTTCAGAAACAAAGGACAGGTATTTTGTTGACTAAATGTTCCCAATTCCTCACTTTGCAATATTAAGTAATTTTCATACGGTTGGTGGCAGTATACATTGTAGGAAATAAAACCCACAAAAATAAAAAGGTCTATGGATTTATCTGTTTAATATAGGGATATAACATTTTGTCAATACTAGGCACCATAAAATGTAAACACAATTACTGTCATAAACCTGGATATACCTTCAAGGATTGAAAGTGGCTTTGTTTAGTTACCCTGTTTGCATATAGTGCAGAGAAAGGTCTTCATGTTATTAGCACTATGTACATAAGAAGAGATCCAAATTACAAGAGAGGCAGATAAAATTTGAGTTCTTTAAACATTCGTTAAACTAAGTTTTGTAGTAACATCCAGGTTTATCTTCCTTTCACTAGCCACGTTCCCTGTTAAGCACATCATAACAACAGCACAGTGAAGTGAATGATGAAATAAAAGAACTTTGATACACTAGAAAACAGTGCTCAGTGACACATTTACATTCTATTTATATGATTAAACATTTGATCATACAGTACCTTCCTACAGGATTACTGGCTAATTTGGGGGTGGGGTTTATACTGTTAGAGGTATTACTAACATGATAACTACTTCCCTTATATGCAAACATTAGAGCTATACTTTTATCGAGAGTAAAACTGATTATGCAAGTTGACTGAGCAGCTTCTCAAATAATGTGGTTTACGAAATCATGGGAAATGAGCAAAGCTGCCCTTGACATAAAATCGTTTCTCAACCTGCTTTTCACATCAAATTTAATCTGTACAGACCAACACGGTCAGTCAGATAATTCTTCATATGAACAAATGGGGAAAAAGAAAAAAAAAATATGTACATGAATAAACAGGGGAACTAGATGCGTTTTAGCAAGGAATGTCAGGTGGTAGTTCTGGATGAAACTTGCAGTGCAGTTTTCATTTCCACAGCTGTGTGCTGAGAGTCTGACCCGATGAGCTTCCAGACCAGCCCGCTGTTGTGCTGGGGGGCTGGCCAAAACCCACTGCGGGGTTTGTACTGCTGATACTCATGCCGGCCATTTGCTGATTCATCTGTGAAACATAAAAGGCTTATTTTAGGACGTTTACTTCACTTTTAATTCTTGTTTCTTGAGCCACAGTTAGACATTTATTAGAAGCTGCCTTTGAGGTTAATTTAGTCAAAGAGATAATGAAGTTTAATAGCAATTATAGAAGTATTTTTCATCAATATGAAAATTAGTCAAAGCACAGGGGTATAAGTAGACTACCAAACAATTATTTCCCTAGAGAAAGCAAATAGCTATTTTGTTTCCTTCTTGTTCTTTCCTTCCACTTTTTTTTTAGCATTGTCCATAAAGTGATCTCAATCCTATTTATTCATTTTCAAGACTCCATTTCTTGTCCCCCAAAGATTAACCACAACTGAAAAAACACCAAAGCAATCTTTGAATTTGTATTTGAGTCCACTATTCTAACTTTCAACTATATCAGGATGTTGTGCTTTAACTATAAGGACTGAGTAAATTTTAGAAAGTCAAATACTCCAAAACTATATACTGTTTATGACAGGTATTATTCTGTCTTCATTAAAATCTTAAATGGTTCTAAATACTTCCTAAGTATTAAAAAAAGGCTGTAAAGCATACATTTTCTTTTGCTTAACCACTAAACATCTAAAATTAATTTTCATTATATAAGGTATAAGACGACCTGTGTTTTTCTTCCAGACTGGAATCATATATGTATATAAGCATCCTAACCCTTTCACTACGGTACTTCTCTTCTTCTAATACTGATGATAAGGAAAGGAAAGGCAAGATTTATCACAAAGTACAGAGTGGATTCAAAAATCTGTGCTCAGGGTTGGAATGTATTCTTAATAAAGTTCTTTAGTGGTCTTGCAAAGATACTAATGTTCACCACATTGCTGATGAGGCATAGTGTCCACGTCTTCATACCAACTAAAGGTTGTAAACCACCTTGTTGGCCAACAGATTCCACTGAGGGGTGCTGGAAAACAGCAGCACCCCTCAGCATGCCTGAAAGTAAAGGCCAACGTTAACTCCTTACTGGTTCATCTAGCACCTTAACTTTGAGCTGAGTATACTTCAGTATTTTGGCTACACAAAAGCTGTTACTGACATTTGGTACTTAAGGTTCCCAGAGGGTGGACACCAATGTCACAATGACAGTAGGGGCTCCTGGCTGGCACAGTTGGTACAGCATGTGACTCTTGATCTCGGGGTTTAGGTTCAAACCCCATGCTGAGTGTGGGGAGTACTTAAAAAAATCTTTAAAATGTGATAGTAAAAGCATTCACAGGATGTATAGTGATTTTTAGTAATGTTAACTATCAGTATAGACTATTCTCTGAATGCTCTCAAGGTAAAACAGCTGAACAGAAACCAAGATTCCCCCCAGTGCTAGAAGAACACCAAATAGGAACTGTAAGGGAAAGAGAGGCTGGAGCATGAAGCTAAATCTAAGGGTCTTTGTCTATGCAGAAAAGTCAGAGTGGAGCACTAAAACAGACTGATTTGAAAAAAGTTTTACAAGTAGAAATGGGATTTCATAATGTAAGGGGATGTCTGAGACAGATATGGACTTGTCCATAAGTAAAAAGGAAACTCAACTGTACAAAGGTTTTTAAACTTTTATAAAGCAGGGGAAGTAGGCATATGACATGAAGAACAGCCTAGATCCCTTACAAAATAGTGCTTTGAGACTGGAAACCACTCCCTGCCCCCAACTTAGTAGTGAACATAGGCAGGTCTAAGTGGACTATAAAAATGCCCCACCAGGGAGCTGGGTTGAAGCTTGGTGCTAATTTCACAGGTAGCAGAGAGGAAGTCTCTCAAGATGCCCAAGATAATTTCCAGCTGTTACAAACAGGATGTTCACCAGTATTATAATCTGAAATGAAAAAATGCTTAACACTGCTTTACAGAATACTCTAAATATAGGGTCAGTGACAGCTCACTTGTCTGTTTGATGTAACTTCATGATACCTATAGACAAGTCCCATCTGATACATTATCCTTACTCAGATTTTTCTGCCATGTTGTTATTTTTAAATAAACCATTCAGAAAATGAATCCCATTTCTTTGATTTTGGAGACTCTGGAGAGTAAATGACCCCCTACCTGTGAGAGGTTCCACTGGGGCTGCTGAGCTTGCGGCAGGCCAAACTTACTCTGGGGCGCGCCCATCTGTCCCACCATTCCTCCGTGGGGGCCAACCACATTTGGGGGAAGTGGCATCACACCAGTTTGTGCGTTTCCCATAAACCCATTGGGCATGGGCATGCCCACCATCATGCTTGTACTCTGTCCCATCACATTTCCTAGAAGGCCAGGAGCTGCAGGTGCAGGCACAGGCACGCCCATTGGTGGAAAACCTTGAAATGCAGTCGGTGCTTGTGAGGTAAATGGTATATTTGTGGGTCCCATAAACACACCTGCATTTTAAGAACCATGAAAAGAAAATGAATGAAGAAAGCAGGGCTACTGTATACAGTTGCACTCACCTCTATGATCACAGAAAAAGGATCACCATCTTTCTGAAGAACCCACAGCAAAAATTTTAATTCCAATCTGCTGCTACTGTTCAGACCGACTCACAACCTCAGAGCTGGTTACTTCCAAAATGCACACAAATCAGTTACAAACCTGAGCAAATTTAGGCTAGATATATCTTATGCAATAGCCATATAAACTCCACAGCATGAGATTATGTGCTGTTTGTGCTGACTTGCACGGCTTGTCTCCCACTATCAGATACACAACTGAGAGCTGATGGTGTCTGGCTTTAATGGAAGCAAGTGTCCTAGAATTCCAGCTCATTATTTCAGAAGGAGTGCATTTGACAGATTCAAACTATGTAAACAATAGATCTGACTGTGCTAGTCTTTCATTATAATTATTAAAAACTCAGTTTTGGAATTCATGTGATAATTCAGATTGCTTATTGTTTACTTACAGAGAAAATACCATACTGTACACAAAGTTGTAAACTTCATGCAAATCAAAATAATTCTTCAAAAATAATCCATGTCCTGTAAGCTTGTGAAACAATATTAAGTGATATGTGAACAGCGTGTTACTTCTAAATAAAGTTTTGTGAATCCTGTGTATGCTTTTTAATTCTAATGCTTCATACCAGTTTTGTAGTTGCACAAATTGCAAAGAAGCACCTGGTACATGGAAAAATAGGAAGAAATAATATACAAAGGGTATACTTCTAGTAATGTTACCGTAATTCACTGAAAGCAGATGTGGAAATGAATTACCAGGGGTGCTCTGCTGCTGAATGGTTCCTGTGCCATACAGAGATAAGATAGAATCTTTGGAGAGTTGTTTCTTTGCTACCTCTTCTGACTTTGTAGCTTGCTCAGTGAAGAGATCCAGATCCCCAGATATTACTGTAGACAGAGTGGCAGCCGCAGGTATAGAGGGTGTCCCCTGAGACAAATACCAAAACAAGCTGTCAAATTCTGCATACTAACACATAGTTCATCCCTTCCTTAAAATCTAAAGGAATTAGAAATTACACAACTGTAGAAGGTAATATGGTGACATCAGGATCATTCACAAACCCACACAAAACCAACATCTAGGATAAAGGTACAATGTTTCCTATTTTAAATCTGTTAATGTGAGAGAACTAGATCAAAGCTCTTTCATAATAAACTGTGTTTACCTGCTAAACTGACACTGCATTTTTGCCCATCACATCCTGACCACAGTGGGTTCAACAATAGTATGTGGCTGCTGTGTGAGGACCACCATTCGTGGGAGATGCTGGGGATCCACTTCAACTATTTCAAGGAACTGGTATCCCTTAGAATAAAGAACTACAGCAGACAGCAAGAGGGTCTTGCAAAGGCTGATTTTGTCTTTGAAAAAAAAAGAAAAGCCTTTGTTTTTCAAAAGCTGCATCATATTTTTTAAACATAATCTAGATCAGTTTTAACCTCATAGTAGAATGTTTCTAGTCTATCCAGAAATGAAGTACAGCAAAACTTCACCTATACTCTCAACCATATCTTCATTCCACTTTTGGAAAAAAGAAATAAACATTCAGATTTAATACAAAAGAAAAATGTTCACTTAACCTATATCTGCACACAGATTATACAACCACAGCTAATAACTTCACTTTAATGATCTCTGCAGCCATTTATTCAATCACATTCACATTTGTTTACATGAAATTGTTTTAGATATGAAGACTTTCAAAGAATTCTAAGAAGAATGGTAGAAACTGGGTAAGGGTCTTCTCAAACTACAGAATAAGGTGAGTAGTAGGTAGAAGTTAAAGATCCTGTAAACAAATTTGCCTTAGTTTTTTAAAAAATCAAACATATAACATCTTGGCTAAAAAAAACTAGCAATAAATTACCATCCAAGCATTGTATTCACAAATTTAAGGAGAACAATAGTTGAATCTATTATGACAAATTAAGCAAGCATTTTGAGATAGAAAAGTCACTGCATTTTGCAGAAAGTCTGAAATGTGTAAGGACTCGGACACAGTGGAATACCAAATATGGGAATGCACTGGAATAAAATATTACCTAACTACCAGCGATGCAGCAGAAACTCTCAGACTAAGAGCAAGTGCACTGGAGCCAGCCTGCCAGGACTAGAACTCTGGTCCCACTGCGCCCTGAGACTGTCACTTAATCTCCACTCTGGTCTGTAAACTTGGAGACAGGACTTCTAACCTTACAGAGTTGCTTGATGACCACTAGAAGTGCTCTGCACAATGGCAGAATTAAGCACACAATATTTAAGTTGTTAGGTAATGAAGCAACCATCTCACTAATCTTTTCATAATGTTTAGTTTCTGTTCAGTCTAAGAACCTGCTCAAAATCCTGAGGTCTATTCCCTGTGGGAGAGATGAAACTACAGGAAAATCCACAATGGCTGGGAAACCTATTATAGTAGTCCCCCTCACCACACCCCTATACACTTTCCAAGGTACATTCCAAGTACCCTGGGGATGCCTGAAACCATGGATAGTACCGAAACGTATGGGTTTTTTTCCTATACATCCACACCTATGACAAAGTTTGATTTATAAATTAGGCACAGAGAGCATAAAGTAGAACAATTAATATACTATAATAAAAGTTATGTGAATGTGGTCTCTCAAAATATGCTGTACTCTTCTTATGATGTGAGATGATAAATGCCTACGTGATGAGATAAAGTGAGGTAAATGACAAGTGAGGCACCATGACAAGTGTTAAGCTACTACTGATCACCTGGTGATATATCAGAAGAAAGATCATCTGCTTCCAAACTGTAAGCGACTAAAACCACAGAAAATGAAACCACAGTCTCATACTAGAGCAGCCTAATATCCACATGCTCTAAACGTGTATTTCTTCTGATGAAGGTACGTAAAATGGAACATCTACCTCAACGTGGTCATAGTCTAAAAACAGCCAAACCACATAGCATGACTAGTAATCACTCCTATGTCCATTTTTTATTTTTTGGTGCTCTATTTGACAGCAGTGTAACTCCAGGATTAAAGGAGAACAACTTTTGTCTGTCAATTTACACTTTGAGAGGCTGCAGAATCCCTAAACCAAAGGTTCTCTCTGGCTGTTGGGATCCTAAGGCTGATCCAAGGTCAAGGCAGCACCTGTACAGGTCTAGGTACTGTTGGTTTATGTGTATTAGAGATAGAAGGAAAGGGATGGCTTCTGTAAGTCACCTTTGAGGACTCTGGAATGATTCCCTGGGAACCCCCAATATACATGTGCATTCTGGTCAGATGAGTATTTCCAACCTCCTTCAGAAGACTACACAGCCAAACAGGTAAATCTCTCTCGTCTTCACATGAGTGGGAAATCTTTTAATATAATTTTTACTATGAGTAAAATCAGGACTGAAAGAGTACAGGGTTCAGAGTAATTCCTATTTCTGTCAAATTTTACATAATAGAAACTCACCAAAATTAGTAAGTTACATAGCTAGAGTATATGTATAAAATGTGTAATTTAACCTGCCTTTCCCCCTCCCCATTTTCAAAGACATTTTGAAAACATGTCTGGGTTTTAATCTTTGCATGTAGTTCAATGAAAGATAACTCTGCTCACCCAATATTTTATAGGGCTCAATACAATTGGCACAGTTTTGGTCCAAAATCAATGTTCTAAAAAAAGAATCAGATGGGATTTTAAAAATCAACTCTGTAACTCTTAGTGGCTGATGCAGAATGCACAAAGCATGAAGGCCAGACCAATCAATCCCTCATAAAGGTAGAAGCCGCACCCCGTATTGTGGTCATGGTGCTACTTAAGAGTTAAATTAAGTCTGCATTGTTCCACTTGCTTTGATACCGAAAAGAACACATGAAGTACACTGAAGCCTCAGATGTAGGGTCTAATTCTCTGCGTGGTTGCAAAGCAACTCACATACTCCAATGGAATCCAAAGAAGTTTAGCAGATAAAACAGCCTCACTAGAATGCTAGACCAAAAGAAACTGCTTTTCGTGCTCAGATTGTCAAATAACCTAATGCTTCTTTCTGAAGCCAAAACATTAGCATTAGACAATTTTTATTATCACATGCGTACCCATGCCTGCACAAATTCACAAGGTAATTAATGTTAATTGAAACAATAGTAGTAACAGTCCCTCATTTTATGTTTTGGGGTAGGGGAGAAGGAACAAAGCCAAAAAACAAAGCTATCTTTTCTGAAACATTAATGCTGCAATTTTGATAAGCTAATTTCTAAGACATTTATTTGCTCAATTCTAGTGGTAATTACGACTATCATAACAAAAAAATGCATAATAAAAGTATAAGCAATTAGTCTTCTTAATAAGACATAAGTTCTTATTAAAACTTTCCACCCAAACAATTTTCATTTGGCTCTGTTTTTCTAGAGAAAAAGAAATATTTTACCTCAAAAATTATGCTGTACCAAAACACACTGTTGTTCATTTATAAAGTATAAATTTAAAATAGAATTTTAAAGTTGTATGCTTAAGAGTAACCTATATTCCTAAAAGTTAATATATTCACCTTCAAAAAAGATAAATACTTGATGGGATCACTTGTATGTGAAATTAAAAAGAAAAGTTGAATTCATAGATGGTGGTTACCAGAGCTTGGGAGTGGACAAAAAATAGAGGTTGATACAAACTTTCAGTTATAAAACAAGTAAGGTCTGAGGACATCTAATATGACTACAGTTGATTATACTGTATTGTGTAACTGAAACTTGTAAAGAAAAAAACTAAAGTTCTCACCAAAAAAAGTAAATATGTGAGGTGATGGGTGTGTTAATTAACTTGATGGTGGAAGTGAAATATACACTTTAAATATTTACCATCTTATTTGTCAATTATACCTCAATAAAGCTGAAAAAATATTTAAAGTATTAAACAACTTACAATTTTAAAAAAAGGAATAAAGGCAAAATGTAACGTCAGGAACAGAATTCAAAATTTCTTTATCATCAATGTGAAAAAAAATCCTGATTATTAATATTGCCCTAAATAATTTTTTAAAAAATTTAAAAGTAGAAACATTGTATGTCCACTATACTTCAATAATAAAACAATTTTAAGGCTAACTTAAAACAACTATCTTCATAAGAAAGAATAGGAGTACTTAATTTGCTACAATTTCTTATTCTTGATTTTTCTGCAACCAGAAATAAACTATCTTGAGGATGGCTCAATAGAGCATAAAAATAGAACTACTAGCTTATATAATCAATATTTATACACCTATGGTTAACTTTAAAACCTCTGAAGTTACCGAGTTAATCTCTGGCAAGGTTGAAATAGTCTTAATTTTCCCACTTATTCACTCTAAACACCACTGTTTGCCTAAAGCCAGAGTCAGCACACTTCAAACAGTGAATATTTAGGCCTTTTGGGTCAGAGTGTTGCAACTATTTAATATGCTTTTGTGATGTAAAAGCACCCACGGGCAATATGTAAATAAATGGAATGGCTGTGTTCCAATAAAACTTTGTTTGCAAAATCAAGCTGCAGGCTTAGTTTGTCAACCCCTGGCCTAAAGAACAGTAAGCTTTCAAATCAGAGACTGCTCAGAGACAATTCTTTCAAAATTGAACTTTTGAGGCTTTTCAAAAAGGAAATAAGCAGTGATGATGTAAAACCATGTTCTAACTACATACCTGAGCTGCGGGTATGACCGTTGCAGGTAAGGGATTAGAAATCATTGGTCCAAAGATGTCCAGATCATCATTCAGGGATGGCACCGTGGTTGTGTTCCCATTGGTCACTGGTGCCTCGGCAGGGCCATCTGAAAAGAACACAGATTCTCATCCCAAAGTAGATGCTCTTAAATTACTTAAAACATGACATTATTTTTTAAATTAATATATGGTTAAAAACAGTTAAAAGGTTGACAAGATTTATGTCCCCCTTTTACCCCCCAGGTTCTCTCCTCTTTCCCAAAGAAACTATTTCTAGTTTTGTTTATTCTCTCAAAAATATCCTTTACTCACCAGTTTCTAGGTACAATATATCCAAACCCTGTTTTAACAAATGGTATTACACTATTCACGTTATTCTGCATCCTGATGCTCTTTATATGCCAGGCACTACTCTGAGTACATACATTAATTCATTTAATCCCCATAACCTTATGAGACAGACACTACTTTTGAGATAACTGACTAAACTGGCATTTCATACCATGTTCTTATAAGTAAGAATGCCTGCATGTGTGTGTGATAGACGACATCACTTCATATCATGTTTACCTATGCTGGAAATAAATTCTGATGATTTAAAATGTTTGTAACGTTGAATTCTTAAGTTACAAAGGGGGGGGGGGGCGGTGCACCTGGGCGGCTCAGTTGGTTAAGAGTCTAACTTCGGCTAAGGTCATGACCTCGTGGTTCTTGGTTTGAGACCCACATTGGGCTCTGTGCTGACAGCTCAGAGCCTGAAACCTGCTTTGGATTCTGTGTCTCCCTTTCTCTCTGCCCCTCCCCCGCACACACACACACACACACACACACACACACACACACACACTGTCTCTCTCTCTCTCTCTCAAAAATAAGCGTTAAAAAAAGTTACAATAAGGGAAAAAACTACATAGAAAGGAAAAACATACACTGTGTAAACTGATTCTGTAGGAAGTATCCATAAAACTTTGAAATAAACTCACTGTATACTCAAGCATGGCCACGTTCAGTGATGGCAGTACCAAGCCACTGAGCTGTACCCGGAAGGGAACTCCAACAGAGTGACAATATCCTATATCAGCTTCTTACTTAACCTACCATTCAAAAAACTTTTTTCAAAGTTTGTCTCTCCTTTTTACATTAGTGCAGAATTTACAAAATATAAAAGGTGAGACTTGGAGTGGGTTGGAGTAGAGAGTCTGTGAGCGCAGTCCAGGGATTGGGACACCTCACACACTTTCCTGTGGCCACAACCAAGTTAACACTTAAGAGTGTCCCCACTCCAATCTCTTGTGATGAGGGAGCATGAGGCACGCTGACAGGCCACAACCCTGCCCCCCCCACCCCCCACCCCCACAGTTGGGATATGTGTGATATTCCTCTTGGCTGCCTGAGAACAAAGGAAAGGGGAAAAACAAATGGTTAACTGATAGAGATCATAGTCCTACGAGACCTGAGTCTCCATCTATTCATGAATATCTTAGTAAACTATAGGAAAAAGGCAATCTTATCAATAGCCTAATCTCCAGAAACCTATAGACTCTGTTTCCTGGAGCCCCAACATCATCCCTCCATAGTGATGTGGGAAACAAAGACAGAAGGAAATGGCAGAACTAAATTTCCTTGTAACTTGCAGTCCATTGACAAATACTTGAGGCAGGCAGAGTAAAATGTTTCTCCAGGACTCCCCACTGTCTTAATGCTAATGCTTTGCCACAGGGAAAACAACCTTAGCTTGATAATAGCTAGGCCTCCAATATCCTGGAAGTCTTCTTTAGCATATGAAAATCTCACTGGAAACTTCCCCTTGACTTTACCTCCCCCAACTCCTAAGTATATAACCAATGTCTCCTCATCATCCCAGGGCAGCTCTTCCTGCCCACGCTCGTCCCCATGCTTTAATAAAATCACCGTTTTGCACCAACAGCATCTTTAAGAATTCTTTCTTGGCCATCGGTCTGGACCCCATTAACCCCACTGTCACCCCCAAAAACCTTATCATCTTGAGACTCATGTCCTAATCAAGCTTCTATTTTAATAATTTACAATCTTTTTGATCTCTCTTTGCCTCAAAGGCAAATTAGTCATCTTTCAAAATTTCTTTAAGGTTGAGTGAGATGTCTTGCACAGAGCAGGTTTCCAATATTTGGCAAATCTAATGGAAGGTCTTCCACATACTAGGTATTTCTACCACAAACCACAGAAACTCCCAGGTTTCTTTTCTTTTTTAAAATATAACTATAGAAACTGTTATATTTTATTTCCCAGTTTAAGCCTCAGTAAGTCACATATTACTAATTTCAGTGAATAAATGGGTCAATGAAATATTTTTTACTACTTAATTTCTAAAAGACTGTAAAACCCACATAAGATTAGTTTGTAAGAGATCAACTGCAAATATTTTTAAATCACTTTCACTGATATATTATCAGAACCAAAAAAAAATATAGGTTTACTCTCTCTATATGTATGTGTGTTTGTGTTTGTGTTTGTGTGTGTTGTATGTTCTATCTCTATTAAGCACCATGGACAATTTAAAGGGGAAGCAATAAAACAATGCACAGATAATACTAATTTATAATATACAGAATTTTAAGCTAAGATACAACTATGACCTAAAAGAATTCAAATATGACTCATGAAAGTTTTTTGTTTTCATTTCTAACCACAAATGGCAACATTCATTTTGAAGTCAGGCATCTTTAAAGAGCTATTTCATGTTTTCCAGTCCATTCCACATTCCATTTACATCATGTAAATATGAACCAGAAACAAAATATTTTAAAAGGACAAGGTATTCTACATTAAAAACACAATTAAAGGAACATCATCTTTGTGGTATCTACAACATCTCAGTTAAGAAACTCAACAAGGACATGTGAGCCAGTGGTACCATCATCCATGAGCTGCAGAGCTGGGGACAGGGACACAACCCCATCAAACAGACATATTTAATTGTATCATGAACAAGGAAGCATTTTATTAGCAGGAAATAAAACCATATAACTATAACTATAACTATAACTATATATATATATATATATATACATATATATATATGCAGTTTAAATTCACAGACAGAAGCATATGTCCTTTAGAACAAACTACAATCAAGAGGAACAAAGGTAAACAAGCAAAAGCCTGAGTATAAATATGTATTTCCAGTTTTTCAGTTAAAATTTTTTGCTTTTTCAAGTAATAGCAATCACTAACAATTAGGACAAATTTATGAAAAAAATACCTTAAACTTGAGAAAGTACTATCTTTTATTTTTTGGTGAGAAAATATCCTGACTCGACTTTTACCACAGGACATGTCAACCTCGTTTACAGAACGCCATTGTGCCAGCATACACTGTATGAGAACCGAGAGGTTCACCAATTGCAGGCAAATGATCTGTATTCATTACTTTTTTTTTTTTTTAACGTTTATTTACTTTTGAGACAGAGAGAGAGAGAGAGAGCACGAGTGGGAGAGGGGCAGAAAGAGGGAGACAGAATCCTAAACAGGCTCCAGGCTCAGAGCTGTCAGTACAGAGACAGACGCGGGGCTCAAACTCACGAACCGTGAGATCATGACCTAAGCCGAAGTTGGACGCTCAACCAACTGAGCCACCCAGGTGCTCCTGTATTCATTACTTTTATAAACTGTACATCTTTCAGAAATGTATGTCTGTTTTTAAGAATATTACTTTATTTATACTTTCAAGTCTAAACCCTATTCAGAGTCTAAATTATAAAACAACATGCGGCACGTTATGTGGTTTTGAAGTCTCGTTTTACCCTTCACACCCTTAGGATCACATATGTAACCAACAAAAATAACAGCCAACACTCAGTATAGTGCTTATTTCATGTCACCCTAAAAAAATACAAATACATCAACATATACGTACACTTCTTTAGTCTTTATAATGATGCTATGAGAGGTACTATTAATTATCCTCATTTGCAAATGGTAAAAACATTAAACTTGTCCATGGTCACAGAGCTAGTGCAAAGCCTTGGGTTATAATCTAAGTCAATTTTTATAATAAGATCAATACATTCTTGTAAAAGATGCAAATAATGCAAAAATGAATAAACTAAAAGTTCACTACCATGGATGATGGTAATGGCTGCAAAATAATGTGAATAAATGTACTTAATGCCACTAAACTGTATGTGTAAAACTGGCTAATATGGTAAATTATGTTGTGTATTTTTATCACAATAAAAAAAGTCCCTACATTTTCTATGCTTCTAAACATATGTTTAAAACAACGTATATATATCAAAGTCATTTTCTTTAGATCAAATGGTGTATGTGTGGGTGAGAATGGACTGCATTCCATATTACATGAACTTAAGATAACTTACTTATTCAATCCTGCACTACTGGGCATTTAGGTAGTTTCCAGACTTTCATCATTACAGAAGCAGTAAATACCTACTGTCCTTAATATAAAGCTTACATAGTTCATTTTCTTCACTGCAAGGTAACATGACTTCATGTTCTACTACCACACTATAAAGAGCTTCATTTTCTCATTCCATTAAAAATATATATGTATATTTAAAATCTGACCTTTTGAAGTCTCAGAAAGGCATTCTACACCAACAACAAACCACCTACCATAGTGGAGCTGCCATGAAAGTCAACTCATAACAGAAGTTCAAGGAACTTTGGAATCCTTTAGAATGAGACAGAGGAAGCATCTGCTTAGGAATGTGATCTTTATGGAAAGGTTGCCATTTTCCAAGTGAATAAAGAAGATACGTGTATTAACTCCAAAAACCTAAGATAAGAAACTTTCTCTCCCAGGTCTGACCAAGGTTTCCTATCCAGCCTTGTGACAGACACAGTGACTCTTCTCTGCCTTCACATCTACAACACAACTGTCTTCTTTTCTCTCTACCCCAGTTTTCTTATCATATAATCCCCTAATATCAGAGGTTTTACCCCCATCAGTTTTTGTTGTTGCTGTTACTACAAAAGCTAAGCATTCACAGAATTGTTGAAAAATCCTTAGCCTAAACAAAAACTTCTCAGCCTTGCACAATCAGTAAATACAAGTTCCCAAAGGGTTTTCCCAGTGGATTTCAATGTTTGCTAATCTGACTTACTA